TCTATCAGTTTTATAAATCAGTTTTTTGGGCACTTTACATGTCGTCATTCATTCCCTCTATAAACTACTGTAGCCACAGCTGCCCTGGGGCACTCAGAAGAGAGGCAACCAGTCTGTGCCATCAGCCCCACCATCCACTCACACACACGACCCTTTCTCTGCAATGTGGGTGAAGTGTCTTGCCTAAGGACACAACAACAGTTTGCTAATCTACAGTTGCCCCACTGTGAGGCCTGCTGTTCCAAGAGGTCCCCCATCACACTGCTAACCAGGCCCTGTGCTGCTTAGCTTCAATTATCTGGCAGGATTTGGCTTTCACATGCGGGTGGCACCATAAATATAGTGTGTTCTGTGTTTTTGAGTGAAGCAGAACTGTTTCCTGGGACGGTTACTGCTGTTTATTGTATACACTTATTTAAAAGTATTTGTGATAATTTGTGATTTTTTAACTTTTAACTTAATTTTTGTAACTTGTTTGCACCATATACAAAAGCAAATTCCTTGTTTTTGACTTCCTGTTACTTACAATGGTGATCAAAATAATTATGATTGTGATTAATTTCTTTATAGTGGCATAAAATATGGAAAAATCAATAAATTAATAAAACATATTTTCCCAACACTGGAACTCCAGAGCAGTCAGTTTGAAGCTAATTACTGTTAATGTTCGTTTTCATTCTTCATAACTCGTGACTTTTTATTTGATCTTTCACCCTTTGTTTCTATGTCAGGTTCTGGACCGGTTCAGAGCCGTCTCAGTTTGGAGCAAGCGCTGGTTACCATAGCAACGCACAGTTTACTTGCAGTATTTAGCATTTAGTTTACTGTTTTCAGTCATAATGACCAGTGTTGGCAAAAGATTGGAAAATATATATAAACTTTTATAAAGATAATTCCATTTATCTGAACGGGAGCCGTCAAAATGACTGCTCTGGGTGGTCCAGTAGTGTTAACTATGAACTCTCTATACCAGCTGTCTCCAACCTTTTTCACCCAGAGAGCTACATTCCTGGGTCGATAAAGGCAGAGAGCTACTTTCCTGGGTCGATAAAGGCAGAGAGCTACTTTCCTGGGTCGATAAAGACAGAGAGCTACTTTCCTGGGTCGATAAAGGCAGAGAGCTACTTTCCTGGGTCAATGGTCGATAAAGACAGAGAGCTACTTTCCTGGGTCGATAAAGGCAGAGAGCTACTTTCCTGGGTCGATAAAGGCAGAGAGCTTCTTTCCTGGGTCGATAAAGGCAGAGAGCTACTTTCCTGGGCCGATAAAGACAGAGAGCTACTTTCCTGGGTCGATAAAGGCAGAGAGCTTCTTTCCTGGGTCGATAAAGACAGAGAGCTACTTTCCTGGGTCGATAAAGGCAGAGAGCTTCTTTCCTGGGTCGATAAAGGCAGAGAGCTACTTTCCTGGGTCGATAAAGACAGAGAGCTACTTTCCTGGGTCGATAAAGGCAGAGAGCTACTTTCCTGGGTCGATAAAGGCAGAGAGCTTCTTTCCTGGGTCGATAAAGGCAGAGAGCTACTTTCCTGGGTCGATAAAGGCAGAGAGCTACTTTCCTGGGTCGATAAAGGCAGAGAGCTACTTTCCTGGGTCGATAAAGACAGAGAGCTACTTTCCTGGGTCGATAAAGGCAGAGAGCTACTTTCCTGGGTCGATAAAGGCAGAGAGCTCTTTCCTGGGTCGATAAAGGCAGAGAGCTACTTTCCTGGGTCGATAAAGGCAGAGAGCTACTTTCCTGGGTCGATAAAGGCAGAGAGCTACTTTCCTGGGTCGATAAAGGCAGAGAGCTACTTTCCTGGGTCGATAAAGGCAGAGAGAGCTACTTTCCTGGGTCGATAAAGGCAGAGAGCTTCTTTCCTGGGTCGATAAAGGCAGAGAGCTACTTTCCTGGGTCGATAAAGGCAGAGAGCTACTTTCCTGGGTCGATAAAGGCAGAGAGCTTCTTTCCTGGGTCGATAAAGGCAGAGAGCTACTTTCCTGGGTCGATAAAGACAGAGAGCTACTTTCCTGGGTCGATAAAGGCAGAGAGCTACTTTCCTGGGTCGATAAAGGCAGAGAGCTACTTTCCTGGGTCGATAAAGGCAGAGAGCTTCTTTTCCTGGGTCGATAAAGGCAGAGAGCTACTTTCCTGGGTCGATAAAGACAGAGAGCTACTTTCCTGGGTCGATAAAGGCAGAGAGCTACTTTCCTGGGTCGATAAAGGCAGAGAGCTACTTTCCTGGGTCGATAAAGCAGAGAGCTACTTTCCTGGGTCGATAAAGGCAGAGAGCTTCTTTCCTGGGTCGATAAAGGCAGAGAGCTACTTTCCTGGGTCGATAAAGGCAGAGAGCTACTTTCCTGGGTCGATAAAGGCAGAGAGCTACTTTCCGGGTCGATAAAGGCAGAGAGCTACTTTCCTGGGTCGATAAAGACAGAGAGCTACTTTCCTGGGTCGATAAAGGCAGAGAGCTACTTTCCTGGGTCGATAAAGACAGAGAGCTACTTTCCTGGGTCGATAAAGGCAGAGAGCTACTTTCCTGGGTCGATAAAGACAGAGAGCTACTTTCCTGGGTCGATAAAGGCAGAGAGCTTCTTTCCTGGGTCGATAAAGGCAGAGAGCTACTTTCCTGGGTCGATAAAGGCAGAGAGCTTCTTTCCTGGGTCGATAAAGGCAGAGAGCTACTTTCCTGGGTCGATAAAGGCAGAGAGCTACTTTCCTGGGTCGATAAAGACAGAGAGCTACTTTCCTGGGTCGATAAAGGCAGAGAGCTTCTTTCCTGGGTCGATAAAGGCAGAGAGCTACTTTCCTGGGTCGATAAAGGCAGAGAGCTACTTTCCTGGGTCGATAAAGGCAGAGAGCTACTTTCCTGGGTCGATAAAGACAGAGAGCTACTTTCCTGGGTCGATAAAGGCAGAGAGCTACTTTCCTGGGTCGATAAAGACAGAGAGCTACTTTCCTGGGTCGATAAAGACAGAGAGCTACTTTCCTGGGTCGATAAAGGCAGAGAGCTTCTTTCCTGGGTCGATAAAGGCAGAGAGCTACTTTCCTGGGTCGATAAAGGCAGAGAGCTACTTTCCTGGGTCGATAAAGGCAGAGAGCTACTTTCCTGGGTCGATAAAGGCAGAGAGCTTCTTTCCTGGGTCGATAAAGGCAGAGAGCTACTTTCCTGGGTCGATAAAGGCAGAGAGCTACTTTCCTGGGTCGATAAAGGCAGAGAGCTACTTTCCTGGGTCGATAAAGGCAGAGAGCTACTTTCCTGGGTCGATAAAGGCAGAGAGCTACTTTCCTGGGTCGATAAAGGCAGAGAGCTACTTTCCTGGGTCGATAAAGGCAGAGAGCTACTTTCCTGGGTCGATAAAGACAGAGAGCTACTTTCCTGGGTCGATAAAGGCAGAGAGCTACTTTCCTGGGTCGATAAAGGCAGAGAGCTTCTTTCCTGGGTCGATAAAGGCAGAGAGCTACTTTCCTGGGTCGATAAAGACAGAGAGCTACTTTCCTGGGTCGATAAAGGCAGAGAGCTACTTTCCTGGGTCGATAAAGGCAGAGAGCTACTTTCCTGGGTCGATAAAGGCAGAGAGCTACTTTCCTGGGTCGATAAAGGCAGAGAGGCTACTTTCCTGGGTCGATAAAGGCAGAGAGCTACTTTCCTGGGTCGATAAAGGCAGAGAGCTACTTTCCTGGGTCGATAAAGGCAGAGAGCTACTTTCCTGGGTCGATAAAGACAGAGAGCTACTTTCCTGGGTCGATAAAGGCAGAGAGCTCTTTCCTGGGTCGATAAAGGCAGAGAGCTACTTTTCCTGGGTCGATAAAGGCAGAGAGCTTCTTTCCTGGGTCGATAAAGGCAGAGAGCTACTTTCCTGGGTCGATAAAGGCAGAGAGTCTTTCCTGGGTCGATAAAGCAGAGAGCTACTTTCCTGGGTCGATAAAGGCAGAGAGCTTCTTTCCTGGGTCGATAAAGGCAGAGAGCTACTTTCCTGGGTCGATAAAGGCAGAGAGCTACTTTCCTGGGTCGATAAAGGCAGAGAGCTACTTTCCTGGGTCGATAAAGGCAGAGAGCTTCTTTCCTGGGTCGATAAAGGCAGAGAGCTACTTTCCTGGGTCGATAAAGGCAGAGAGCTACTTTCCTGGGTCGATAAAGGCAGAGAGCTTCTTTCCTGGGTCGATAAAGGCAGAGAGCTTTCCTTTCCTGGGTCGATAAAGGCAGAGAGAGCTACTTTCCTGGGTCGATAAAGGCAGAGAGCTACTTTCCTGGGTCGATAAAGGCAGAGAGCTACTTTCCTGGGTCGATAAAGACAGAGAGCTACTTTCCTGGGTCGATAAAGGCAGAGAGCTACTTTCCTGGGTCGATAAAGGCAGAGAGCTACTTTCCTGGGTCGATAAAGGCAGAGAGCTACTTTCCTGGGTCGATAAAGGCAGAGAGCTACATTCCTGGGTCGATAAAGGCAGAGAGCTACTTTCCTGGGTCGATAAAGGCAGAGAGCTACTTTCCTGGGTCGATAAAGGCAGAGAGCTACTTTCCTGGGTCGATAAAGGCAGAGAGCTACTTTCCTGGGTCAATGGTCGATAAAGGCAGAGAGCTACTTTCCTGGGTCGATAAAGGCAGAGAGCTACATTCCTGGGTCGATAAAGGCAGAGAGCTACTTTCCTGGGTCGATAAAGGCAGAGAGCTACTTTCCTGGGTCGATAAAGACAGAGAGCTACTCCTTTAAGCAGCTCTGGGGAAAAATTGGTGCTAAATTGGTGTGAACAAGATTTTGGACACAGTAAGTGCATTTCCAATAATAAATAATGATAAAGAATAATACAATCTGAAATATTAAGTATATTATTTGATTTTTATTTTCATTTCTAAATCCTTTGGCGAGCTACCTGGAAGGGGGTGGCGAGCTCCTGCTGTCTCCCGAGCTACAGTTTGGAGACCCCTGGTTTATACTCTTAACACGGTCTACAGTCGTTTCCTTTCGGACTAATCAGTGTCTTCTGTGATTCTAAAGCGTGTCTTGCTGCTTCTCGCCTGCAGGTGATCCAGACGGTGACAGCGGTGGATAAGGACGACTTTGCCAACGGACAGAGGTTTTCCTTCGCACTTCCCAACCACTCGGCGGTTAATCCCAACTTCACCCTCAAGGACAACGAAGGTAATTAGAGTGATCGATATGTTTGTTTCCCGTTGTTATGAATTCTGCGCGTGGCGTCTCTGGCCTCCGGCGCCGCTCTGCATTGTCCCTTTCTCCAATATCGCTCATGGCTTCCAGGTGCAATAAAGAAAGTGTCTGTAAACATGGGTCTGTGGTGTGGTCCGGAGACTTATCCCGGATCGGAGCGCACGCCGTTGACCTTTTCAGCCACAAACAAGGCTTTATTGCTTTTGCTTTTGTTTATGCAGAGTGGCTTCAGAGCGCGGAGGCTGACTGTGAATGGCATTTATATAGAAGTGTAGATATTGCTTTGGTTGAGGATGGATGGACTGGTCTATTGGTCTGATGAAGCTAGTTTGGTGGAGCTGATTGGACGAGAGTTGGACCATGTGGCTGGTGTGTTGGAGAAACCTGGTCTTACCACACCATTGTACTAATTTAATGTTGTACTTAGGTTTTGATTTGCTCCGTTTGAGCTCCGTTAAAAGGTGGGACGGGTTAACCGATTTACTCAGCTTTATTAGCCTTGAACCCTTCATGGATCTTTTTGATGTATTTTTGTGCTTCTGATTGTTTTGCTCTGTTTTGTTGTTTGTGGTTTTGTATTTTAATCTGTAGCACTTTGAGGTTTCCTGGAAATGTAGAAAGTTGTAAGTAAAACTTATTATTATTATTATTATTACTTGAGTGGCATCCAAAATATGACATGGATCAGAACCAGACCTCAAAATATAGTTAATTATAGTTGGATTTTTTTGTATGGATGTGTGAATTTAGGGCTGTGCTAAATATGAAAAGATCCTAATCTGGAGTTTGGTAGATTGTGATTATCAAAACTTAAATGATACAAAACAGACTGAAGAGGAGTCACTTGGGAAGACAAGAAGCCTTTCATCGGGATTTCCTTAAAGAGTATGCAAAGGATAACCAAGTTCTGTGATAAAAATATACATATCTAAGATTAAGAGATCCTGTATTTGTCCTGCAGTGGGGAAATGTCAGTGTTGCATCACCAGTCACAGAACAGTAGATAAATAAACACATATCCATACTCTATACTAAATAAAATAACATTTAATAAAATCTGTAGCTTCAGAGTAATAGGGAAGAAATACATCACCTCTAATTTAAGCGTGATGAAGAAGGACGAATTAATTAAAATATCTCTGACTTGAGAATATTAAAGAAGTATAACAATGTCTCTCTTTGACATAATAAAGAAGTCTGTCATGTTTATTTATAAAGCACATTTTACAGAGAAGGTCCCCCAAAGCACTTTACAATTGTTCAGATAGTTTTTCATTCTCTCCAAACGGTGATGACAGAAGCGAGTCACCGAACACACTGGACCATCAAAGCCTCCGACCAAACACCATCCATTCACTCACTCATTACATTCAGACCTATTGTGCATGTTTTTGTGCTGAGGGAAACCGGAGCACCTGGAGGAAACCTACGCAGATACGGGAAGAACATGAAAACTCCAAACAGAAAGGCCCTGTTCCGACAAGATTCTCAGCAAGAACCCAGGACCTTCTTGCTGAAAGTGCTAACCACTCAGCCACCTCAAGAAGCAGAAATATGATGTTGTATACTCCAGAGTAAGCAATATATAGTTTTATTCTACAGCTCCTCACAGCAGCAGCAGAACCATTGATTTGAATGTAATTTCAAAACGTTCTACCGGTCATTATTTTCTATAACGGACCTCTCAAAACAATAATGACCGCTGCCCTTTGGCAACGCACTCTCTGCTTGTCTTTCAAATGCGTGGATTACTCCGCAAGTAGTTCCGGTCACTCCGGAGCTAGCCACGCTCAATAAACGCACTTAAATGTTAATCAGAGAATACTTATACATATACTTTCTTCACACACGTGCACGGAGGATTTCAGAATTTTCTGGTCTTGTCTTCATGACAAAAACACTATTTCTCTGCGTCAAAAAGCGATCGTGAAAAACCCGGAAGTAGTTCCGGCCGCTCAATCAACGCAAATGAAATGTTAATCGGAGAGTAATTTATACATATCCAGTCTTAATACAAGTGCACGGAAGTTTTCAGAATTTTCCGTTTACGTTTTCATGACAAAAACACTGATGTAATGCGAGAAAAGGCGATGGTGAAAAACCCGGAAGTAGATACGGCACATTTTAGGAACATTTGCAGAGGATGGAATTATGGATTTAGGTTAAGTTTATGTTTGGGTCACTCACCGCTGATGTTCAGGATTCTATGTTCAGTTTTCATGCAGTTCCAGAGAGTTCTAGTTTGGAAGTTGCCAGCCTAACTGTTGCTAGCATAACTGTTGCACTAGCATAGCCACGGGAAAGCCTTTGGGAACTATTTTATTTTCTGTCATTAAATAAACCTTTGGGAATTCCTAAAAGTGGACTGAAGTTTATGTTGTGTGTTCTGTTATAAAGCTGTATAATAAGCGGGATAACGTATATTACGCAGGTCATTATCGGAAAATAAGTACCTTCAGGGCGAAGCGTCAGGGTCCGCTTCGCCCTGAAGGTACTTATTTTCTGATAATGACCTGCGTAATATACGTTATCCCTTACGTACTGTATGTATACAGCTGGAAATGTGAGCAGCATAATGTTTTAAAGTATTGCAAAAAAGATACTCTGCCGCTGCAGAGCACGGCAGAGAAGCCTCTGTGGGGGTGTGAAAATGTCCTCGGCCATTTTGTGCACTCTGAGCTGTTCCATCATCACCTTCTCCGGGGGGAATATCCCTCTCTAATGACCCGCTACTGCCACCGACTCTTGGCATGTTTGCTTTTTGTATTTTCAATTGGATTATAACTGCCTGGCGCGCCGCCTTTTCTCTCTCCTTCCCAAGTGCATCCTTTCTTGCCGAGGCAGGACGTGCGGACGGTGTGAGTGTGTTTCCATAGCGACGCCATTATGCTCTCAGGTGAATAACCCGGGGCCTATTTCGGTCTCCGTCCCTGAGCCGGACCTCACGGTTTGAGAGCGGAGAGAGAGGCAGACGAACAAACAAACAGGACGGAGCAAAAGAGCAGGCTTCAGCAAATCAATGTCAGAACACGCAACGCAGCGAGAGAAGCTCCAGGTCTAGGGGCTTTTATTTTGGGGTTTTTTGGGGTTTTTTCTATCTACAAAGTGATACAGAAGTGAACCAGTGTAACTATGGCATATCAACACACTGGGAAGCATGTGTTTAGTGTGCAAGGGTTTCATTGTCGAAGTTTCCACATTTCTGTTTGGGGTTTGCTTGTTCTCCTCATGTCTGCAAAGGTTTCCCCTGTCACGGACAATGATCTTGTTTTTAAAAGAAAGACAAGATAATTTGGCAAGATCGTTGGCAAATCTTGTTTTGTCAGAATGTACTTAAATTAAGATAAAAACCACTTGATTTCAGCAATTATTACCTCCATGTTTTCATTTGTTGCAGTGAATGGTCTGCTCCTTTGATCTGCATACATGTATTAAAGTCTGTATAGATCAGCGGTCTCCATCCTGTATCTCGGGAGCTATAGTCGCCCGGAGCTTCTCTTTCAGGAAGCTCCAGGATTGTACACATGATCCTAAATGATTATTTCTATATATATATATATATGTATGAATAACTACATGTGTTCTAATGTAGGGTTATTCAGTATTATGGTGGACTTTACTGTATAAAATGTTCACGATTGTCCACAGTTATAACATAGTCTACTGTTGTATTACTGTGCAAGAAAGATTAGCTCTCTGCCGATTCAGCACAGCGGTTCGAGGTATTAAGTTTGATTCCACCTCCAGACCTTTCTGTGTGGAGTTTGCATGTTCTCTCTGTGTCTGCATAGGTTTCCTCCGGGTGCTCCGGTTTCCCCTACCACTGTGAATGGATGGTGTTGGTTGGAGCAATTTACAATAACTCTCAACATTGTAAAGTGCTTTTGGCTGACCGTGGTGTGTAAAATGTGCTATATGATTAAACAGTACTTTCTTACCCACTATCCAACTCTTTAGTTGGATAACTTTTTTATCCAACTCAACTTCTCTAAGTCGACACCGTTTGTCCAGTTAGTTCTGTTTGTGTCTCTTCCACTTGTCCCTCAAACACTGAACTTCTCTCTATTTATACTGACTTTATCTGGGCTCAGTGTCAGCCGGGCCACTGCGTCTCGTCGGGGCTCCTCTAAGTGACAGCGACAGTGGCCGGTTCTGCGACTGGAATCTCCTGACAGATTTGTCAAATTACACCTCTCCAAGTGTGTACATGCTCACGTATAATAACAGAACTGACACCTGGAAGAACAAGACACATCTTTTCAGATTAACTGCCATCACACAAGGGAGAAGCTGAAGAGGACGTAAACAACTTCTGTTGCTAACAAGCGTTTTTTATGTACTTCCAAAATACATCGTACCAAGACAGAACTTTAGCCCTGTTTCCATCGTCCCTTCTTGGGCTCTAACCTACTCTGATTGGGAGTGTTCCACCGGCCCGGCTTAACTGGTACAAGGTACTTTTTTTGAGCTGGTGACTGAGCTAGTGGTGTTCTAACTGCCTGTGATTGGCCAAAGTTCTGCTGGAAGCCATGGTTTCCAAGGATGCTCCCTGAGTGCTGGTCTGCTGTAGAGAGTTTTCTAGGATATAGTACCTCGATACTAGAACATAACAGAAACACAAACAGGTGTAGTCGTAAAGGAAAACCTTTATTGATCCCCGTAGGGAAATCCTCTGCATTTGACCCTAATGCCGCTAAGGCTTACACCGGGAGCAGGGGTTGCCGTAGTAACAGCGCCGGGAACCCATCTCCAGATGTTGATGCTCGGCTTGGTCAGGATTTAACCTAGTGTGCATGCAAGGGGAAACCGGAGCACCCTGAGGAAACCTACTCAGGGCCCTGTTCTGATCAGGATTCGAACCCAGGACCTTATTGCTGAGAGGCGAGAGTTCTATCCACTCAGCCACCGTGCCGCCAGTAGAGTAGAGACTACAGTACCAACCAAACATTCTGTGATGAATCTGGTTTGAACTC